AGTTGAATAGGTTGTGTAATTGTAGCGTGGTTCGAACTAGAATAGATACAAAAAAATTCTAGGTTACAATATAATTTGTCTAAGTTACAATACGTGGCGTTACAACGCTATTATCGGAAGTCAAGATTACAAACACGAATAAATAATCAAAAATTATTACACGATAGTGTCGAATAATCTATAGAAATTTGAATTGAATATTAAATTGCATAAATTTCTTTTGTTTTGCCTGATTCTGTTGGAAGCCTAGCTCTGACTTCCGCCCAGCCGATGAATGGAAGATTTGTTCTGTTAACTGCAGTCAAGTCTAGTTCTCTGCTTATCAATTCTGATACACTCCTTACTTTAAATTGTTATTTACTCCTTTAAACCTTATTTACTCTGAAATGCTTTTTCAGAGTACTTTTTGTTAAAATAGACACCTGAGCGCCAGTGTCCCATAACACCATAAACTCAGTATTATTAAGAAAACACTTACATTCCTTACCTATAACGCCAATTATTTGATCATGGTGTTCGGGATGTAGGTGGCTAGCAAACACAGTCTCCTTAATGGTTTCTGGTGTTGACAACTGTTTTATTGCCTTACAGACATCTTTATGCTGACTCCAATCTCTTTTCTGACAATCCTTAGAACAACATCCAACAGTTCTGCATTGTGTACATAGGTTTTATTACAGTACTACTGGTTACTGACTTGCCACAGAAATTACATCAGTGGGACACAGTTGTAGGCCCGACTTCTCCCGGTCCGGAGGAAGCAGCCGCTGGTTGTTTAACGGTCTCTGGGTACCTTGTGACTGGCGACATCCTACTGCATAATGGCCATCACTCCCACGTTTAAAACAATGTTTGCACCATACTTGATTACTCTCTTTACATGCTGAGCATTTTGAAACCCGGGTACTGGTACCTACCCCTCTCCCACTGCTATTGTTGGTAGGTGTGGCTGGGGTTTCCTGGCTTTGGGAGGGGGTGGCCAGTGCACGTGACTTGACTTCCGTCCTCAGCGCTGCTAACTCTGCCTTGAGACCCTCTATCACAATGGTCATGTCTGGACTGGTGGGTGGGGCTTGGTCCCCCCCCCCCCTGGGTTTATTAGACCCCTGACTTCCCCTCTCAGTTCCGAGGGTAGAAACTTGGGCAGGTTTACTTTTAGGTTGGGACTTGAACTTTCTATTTCTCTCTCCCTCAGCTGTGACAGCTATATTGAATTGATGAATCAGGTCTTCATCTTGTATATTATGGTCACATAGGAAGGACCTTATCCTTACACGAATATTCTCATCAAGCAAACCCGTTTCAACAGTTCTTAAAAAGAGCTGTTGAATATGCTCTGTCTCATACTTTAGGGCATCCTCACTCTCATCACTTGCAAATAGGATTTTCTGCCTGATATCGAGGGCACGCATCAAAATTGCATGGGGTGTTTCCTTAGGGTTTTGACAAAGGAATACTAAACTCTGGTAGAGCTCTGAACTGCTCTTTACCCCATGACTGCGTAGAATTTTCTTTAGTCGGTGAAGGGGAAGATCTTCAAATTACTCTAAATAACTTCTCAAGACTAACCCTGGCACAATGGCACGAACTACAGCATCTACTATTTCAACATCTTTGTAGCCCTGTCCCATCCCCGTTTTTATCTGTCTTACTAGTGAATTCTAAGTCAACTTATCCTTTTGTTAGGCTTTTTCCAATTTGACCAAGAATCTTGAACTGTCTGCTGAGAACACTCGTTGTATCTACCAGTTTCTGAAAGGAATCCTCCTCCACGTCTTCCTGCTTCGACTTACCTTCGACCCTACTTATTTTTAGCTTTTCGCTGACTTTCTTTACGGTGTGTATGTCCGCCTTGTACAATTCGGTCATCAGTTGTATGTGTGATTCTTCAGCCATTTTTTTCGCTTTAAACTCGATTAAACAGTCACAAGACGATCCATAAATCCTCTAATAATTTTTCCCGTCTGAGCCCCCAAGTTTGTTGCGCCACGTTAGGCGATTTAAGTGATAAAATAAAATAAATACACACATTCAGAGCCATGAACACGTTTAATCATCGAAGCACATGGATTACAACAGCCGCAAAGGCTCTTGGGACTTTTCCGTAGGGGCTTGGGTGCGTCCATCACAGAACTCTTTGATTCTATATCGTGCAGCAGAGGAGAAACTTCTTTCAAAAGATAACTGCCTATGCATTTTTGATAAGATTTGTAACACAATCGAGTATGTTCACCACAAAGGTTTTTTGCATAACGACATTAAATCGAACAATGTTGTTTTATTTTAAGATAAAATTCAACGATAAAACTTTACTAACAAACATAATATTACACGACGTTTCGACGTTAACTGAACGTCATTATCAAGTGATAAAAAATTAAAAAACGTTAATTTATATACATGAATAATAAAAAACGAAAAACTATGTAATTTAAATATTGTACAATAAAATGATGAACAAAGAAAGAAAAATTTTATTTTTTATTTTTCTTTCCTTGTTCGTCATTTTATTATAATATTATGATATATACATGTTAATACATGTTATTATACATTTTACTAAGTACCTCAATTCTGTTTGGTCGAGAGCCCTCAGCCAATCCCTGATATCGTGTGAACTCGACATGATAAATGTATTAACATTTATCATGTCAAGTTCATTCAAGGTCACGCTGTGGTAGCTTTGCCAAGGGCATTGAGATCTATCCATCGAGATGGCATCCTCACGCTTTTGCTTCGCTTTCCGAAGAAGAAATAAATAATCTCTTAGAAGAAAAAGATTCAAAAAATACGAAAAGGTCGACAAAAGGGAGCGTAAAAGTCTTCAGCGAATACCTAAAGGAGAAAAAACTTCAAGAACCAAAGGAGAAGAAATCGTTAGCCGAAATGTTGAAGTCATTTTACGCAGAAGCAAGAAAAAGCAATGGCGATTTATATTCCAAAAGCTCTCTCCACAGCTTAAGGTTTGGACTCAATAGACACTTCAAAAATACCCAAGGAACTGACAT